AAATTATAATATATAGTTTGAATTTCTGATAAGAGAGCAGTGATGTAAATATATAAATAAATATTATGATTGGGATGTACATATAATTATTAGGTTTGAATAGTTCCATCGTAATCTTAATAAAATTGGGATTAAAAAAAAAAATCCATAACTAGAAAGTGATTAATCAGAATTTACAGCATATTCTATATATATATATAATTATATGTATATTAATCCATGTCCTCAAATTTAATAGATTATATTTTATTCTATTAAGTTAATACTATATAGATTTGATTGTCGTATATCTTTCACTTTTTTATTCAATTTAATGGAAAATATTTATACACTTATATATACAGAGATCAGAAGAAGCCAACCAAGAAATTCTATATCTAGAAGTTCACCAAAGTACAGAGAGCAATGGGTGTTTAAACCAAATCTAGGGTTTCTGATAACTTCCAGCTACCACATCACTCATCTTCTCCATGTCTTCAAGCCAGCTTTCTGGGAAAATTGCCAGCTAAAACTCTTTCTATAACCCAGATCAGAATTAACGAAAACAACGATCATATGGAAGTTTTTTTGTTTTAATTTACACAAAAATTTTGAAGAATTGATCGAGAAAAATGAACACTAATCACACTATAGCCCGTATTTTCAATCTTGTATAATGAAAAAAACCATATGAACATAATAAAAAAGGGGTAAATATGAACATGTTTTTTTTTTTTCTTTTTTTGGGATTCTTTCTCATCTCCCAACTACCATTGTGACTGTAATATCATTTGAGGATACAATTTCTTGACCTTCAAGAATGTATTCTGCATCAATGGAGCTCCTCATTGAAGTGTACGTAGGCTGCTTCGGCGCGGGAAGTGCTGGCGATTGGCTTTCCAGCATTAACACGACAGCTGCCATGTCTGGTCTGTTCAATGCATTATCTTGCACGCACAACATCCCTACATGTATGCATTTCATGACTTCGCTCGGAGAGATTGAGTTGCTGATCGAAGAATCAACAAGCTCCATTGCTCTGCCTTGATTCCAGAGATGCCAGGACTGAAAATTAATCGAGAAAATGAATCTCATTGTGAGGATTATAATCATTGATCAGAAGAGAAAAGAAGTGTTTGAAGCCTCTAATTTGCAGTAAGCTTGTAGGCAATACTTACATAACCAATAAGGCTAGAATGATCAAATGAACGAAAGCCTGTGTTCCTTCTGCCACTAACAATCTCTAGTAATAGTACTCCGAAGCTATACACGTCTGACTTTACGGAAAAGAGTCCTTCCATGGCATATTCTGGAGACATGTAACCACTGCATTGCATAATTAGTCATGTGAGTTACAAAAGTTAAATCATTTTCAACCAGAATATTATGTGAATCGAGTAGTACTTACTATGTGCCAACAACTCTGACAGTATTGGCTTCATTTTGGTTACCCCCGAAAATTCTTGCCAGGCCAAAGTCTGAAATTTTCGGACTCATGTCTGCGTCCAACAGAATGTTGCTAGCTTTCAGATCCCGGTGAATGATTCTCAATCTTGAATCACGGTGGAGATAGAGAAGTCCTCTTGCAATCCCTTCAATAATCTTGAACCTTTTTGCCCAGTCTAGCTGTGCTTGCTTGGCCTCATCTGGATTAATGTTTCTGCAACTATTAGTGAAAGTTTGTATTTCGGGTAATCTTAGATGGAAAAACTATAAAAGGCAAGAGGAACATACCGAAAATATAGCCATCTAAACTTCTATTAGGCATGTACTCGTAAAGTAGCATCCTTTCATCGCCTTGAATGCAGTATCCCAACAATCTCACAAGATTTCTATGCTGCAGTTTTCATATCAGTATTATTTCGTTTTTAAACTCTTCAAGGCCTTGACCAGACCTTCCTGAAAGCCTCTTTACTGCTATATCTTGCCCTCCAGGAAGCATTCCCTAGTGAAAGTAAACATAATAGTAATAACATCATGAGTATTACATAAACCTTGACAAATTAAGACTTTCTGCAACAATCTCTTCACACTCACCTTGTATACGGGACCAAATCCACCTTGCCCGAGCTTGTTTTCTTCGGAAAATTTGTTTGTAGCTGATGCTACAGAAGTGAAATTGAAAACAGGCAATTCCTGTCCGTTTACTTGATTACCTTCTATAACAAGATCAGTTGATCCTGAAAGATCTGTTGAAAATTCTCTGCTTCTGGTCACATCAAATACTGGTGTTTCGTCCTTCTTGCAGCACGAAATCGATGAAATTGCAGATGAAACTGCATAATAAAGGAAAATGGAAAGGAGAAAAGCAACAGTTAATAAACCAATTCAACAATCTCCAAGTCTAATCAATCCTTTGATAATATAGAAGCTCATTCTTACACAGCTTTAAATACTTCAACAGAAAAAAAGAAGCATACCTATAAGTTTGTTCTTGAAGCTCCATAGCAGCCAAATTGCTATACCGAGCAGAAGCGTGCCCAACACAACTGATATAATTATAACAATATTGGATATCCTTTTCTCCTCTCCTATATTCACAAGACAAATAGAAAATAGGTCATATAATGTTCCAAAACATTTGAAAAAGATATCAAGTAACAATTTTTTCTGATCCTTCATTGTTAAGCAATGACACTGAGTGGAAAATGAGCAATACTATATGAACTATGGTTTACAAAGAAGCGGATACAAGGAAATCCGAAAGCTGGATTATCTGTTATGATCAGCATATAGCAGTGCTTGAATTGACATTAATGCTATTGTTTATTGCTGAGACCTGAAAAGGCTGCTGGATTGAATGCCGGCCTTGCTGGTTGTATTAAATTTAGC